AGAGAACCTCTGTCTTGGAGAAGTCAATGTCATGTGAGCCCACTGAATTGTAACAGTGATCTGCCACGGCTGAGGTGTTTGTCCTACCGTGTTTCAGGTCTGCCTTATGTTCACGGATGCGGTCCGAGACATGTCGTTTGGTTTCCCCAATGTAACTGCTACCACAGAGGAAACTTAGTTTGTAGACGCCAGGGTACTGTATGTCTGGAACCACATCTTTTACAGACGGGACCAGATCACGGATTTTATGTACTGTGTTGAATCGGACCTGGATCTTGTGTTTAATCAGGATTTTGGAGATCTTTTTTGTGACCCCAGCAATGTAGGGTAAGGTGATGGTCTTGAAAGGCTCCTCAACAGGATCCTTCTTGATGGTTGGAGTGATGGCTTTGCGGATTGTGTAGTCGGAGTAACCATTAGCCTTAAGAGCTTGGCGTACGTGTTTGAGTTCACTGGAAATGTGTTCATGGTCGGAGATGCATTGGGCTCTATGATATAGAGTCTTGATGAGGGAATTCTTCTGGGATGGATGGTGGTGGGAATCCGGTTTTAGATAAGCATCCGTGTGGGTGGCTTTCCTGTAGACAGAGTGGCTCATTGAACCATCAGGTCTCCTTTTGATTAGGACATCCAAAAAGGGTAGCTTGCCATCATTTTCGACTTCCATGGTGAATCTGATGGCTGGGTGTATGGAATTGATGTGGTCGAGAAATTGGTCTAGAGCAGGCCGGCCATGTGGCCAGATGACAAAAGTGTCGTCTACGTACCTCTTCCATAAGGTCGGGCGTAGAGTGGCAGTCTGGATGGCGTCCGTCTCAAATTTCTCCATGAAGATGTTGGCTACAACCGGAGATAGGGGGGAGCCCATTGGGGTGCCCTCAATTTGCTTGTAGAAGGTTCCATTCCAGGTGAAGTATGTATTGGTTAAGCAGTGTCTCACTAGGGGGGGTACCCCAGCATTCAGTCCTTGATGAACCAAGTCTTCAATGATTGCGATGGTGTCAGGCACAGGCACCTTGGTGAACAAGGAAACCACATCAAAACTGACAAGCAGGTCGTCTGGGGACAGGGCAATCCCCTTGATTGTCGATACCAGGTCAGTAGAGTTTAGTACTGCAGAGGTGGTTTTTCCAGTGAAAGGCCGTAGGATTTCGGACAAAAAACGAGCCAGTTTGTAAGTGGGGGAGTTGATAGTAGAGACAATGGGACGAAGAGGTGTATCTTCTTTATGTATCTTTGGCAAGCCGTACAATCTTGGTGGCCTGGCTGCAGAAGGTTTCAACGAGAACTGTTTGGTCTGATCAATTAATGCGGTTGAAGCAGAAATGATGTTGTTGGTTTTGGAGACGAGGCTGTTGGTGGGGTCTCTTTTTATTTCTGTATAGCTGCCATCGTTGAGTAGTTCTTGAATTTTGTTGTTGTATTCTATTTTGTCCATGATGACAGTGGCATTGCCTTTGTCGGCTGAGAGGATGACAATGTCATCCCTCTTTTTTAATTGAGCTAATTCAAAACGCTCATCTTTGCTGATGTTGCTAGCTGGCATCTTAGCGTTTTTGAGGGTCACAGATATTTCAGATCTTGCTACGTCTGCAGCGATGTGACTCAAGCCCTTGAGAGCTACATCTACTCGAGCAATTATATCATTAACTGGTATGTGTCTAGGTGTGACTGCAAAGTTTAGTCCTTTAGCTAAAACGGATTTCAAACCTTCAGAAATAGGACTGTTACTGCGATTAATTACGACTTTGTTAACATCTAGCTTTTCAATGTGTGGGTCCGGTTTCTTGTTTGAGAGGCGGTTGAATTTGGAAATCAAGTTGTCCTTACATTTAGTCGACATAGCGGCAGCTGAAGAGGCAGTCATTTTTTCCACATGTTCCCAATCCGATGTGGACATTGTTACACTCAAAGATAAGTGTGATTTGTAGAGTGTCTTGTCTAACTGATCTAGTTCGGTGCGCGTAAGTCTGATTTTCTCTGAGATAAGAGCTAAACTAGTTCTAGACAGAATTCGTTTCGCATTAGAAGAAGTTACAGCAGCAGATGTTAGTGTAAATGCGTTTGGTATTACCTTAGAGTCGCGGCATCTCTTCAGAAAGGTGAGAGACTCGATTAGCTGAGCCTTCTTATCCCGGAGCTTGTTGAAGGATCTCAACATAAGGCAGACCTGAAACACGGTAGGACAAACACCTCAGCCGTGGCAGATCACTGTTACAATTCAGTGGGCTCACATGACATTGACTTCTCCAAGACAGAGGTTCTCTGCAAGCCATCTGGCTATCATGAGAGATTCGTTCATGAGGCGATCCACATATACAAACACAGAGACAATTTCAACCGAGAAGATGGATTCTGGCTTAGCAATCATTGGAAGGACGTAATAAACCATTTCGGATCTTAACTGATTGTGTTCACGTTTACGGTGACTTTCAGACCGCGTTCCACTCACTGGCATGGTGCAGTGTGCAGAGTAATGTATGGTGTCGTAATTGTACAGTAAACATATAGCAGTATGATACACATTAGGGTGGGTAGAATAATACATAGTGTTATATTAAAATGGATAAGGCAGCAACTGCAGCAGCAGCAGCAAGTGCAGCAGCAGCAGCAATTGCAGCAGCAGCAACTGCAGCAGCAGCAGCAACTGCAGCAGCAGCAGAAACTGCAGCAGCAGCAGCAACTGCTGCAGCAGCAGTAACTGCAGCTCCCTTTGATGCTGTTAATCCTGCATAATGCACATGCATATGCAGTACTAATCACATTCCTGCATTTCCCATAAATATGCTAAATTCCTTTTGATATGCAAATTCCTTTGTCAATGCGCCCAGCTTATATATATGCTCCAAGCTCGTGTGCTGTTTCATTCAGACTCTGTCGCCTCGACGGACCTGGTTTTCACCTGAGGACGGCTGCTTGCGTTGTGGCCGAAACGTCGTGAGAATTGTTTTATTATGTTTTATTTTTATTATTTTATTACTTCCCTTCTACGTGACTTTACCGAAAGAACCAAGAAGATGAATCCCTGCAGTCACGAAAGCTTTAAATCGAAAAGAAATGATCAGTCTATAGTTTTAATGGTAGGTTTATTTGAACAATGAGAGACAGAATAACAACAACAAAATCCAGAAAACGCATGACCCCCTCTCAATCAGAAAGATTTCTGGCTCCCAGGTGTTTTTTATACAGGTAACAAGCTGAGATAAGGAGCACACTCTGAAAGGGAGTGCTCCTAATCTCAGCTTGTTACCTGTATAAAAGACACCTGTTCACAGAAGCAATCAATCAGATTCCAAACTCTCCACCATGGCCAAGACCAAAGAGCTCTCCAAGGATGTCAGGGACAAGATTGTAGATCTACACAAGGCTGGAATGGGCTACAAGACCATCGCCAAGCAGCTTGGTGAGAAGGTGACAACAGTTGGTGCGATTATTTGCAAATGGAAGAAACACAAAATAACTGTCAATCTCCCTCGGCCTGGGGCTCCATGCAAGATCTCACCTCGTGGAGTTGCAATGATCATGAGAACGGTGAGGAATCAGCCCAGAACTACACGGGAGGATCTTGTCAATGATCTCAAGGCAGCTGGGACCACAATCACCAATAAAACAGTTGGTAACACACTATGCCGTGAAGGACTTAAATCCTGCAGCACCCGCAAGGTCCCCCTGCTCAAGAAAGCACATATACATGCCCGTCTGAAGTTTGCCAATGAACATCTGAATGATTCAGAGGACAACTGCGTGAAAGTGTTGTGGTCAGATGAGACCAAAATGGAGCTCTTTGGCATCAACTCGCCGTGTTTGGAGGAGGAGGAATGCTGCCTATGACCCCAAGAACACCATCCCCACGGTCAAATATGGAGGTGGAAACATTATGCTTTGGGGGTGTTTTTCTGCTAAGGGGACAGGACAACTTCACCGCATCAAAGGGACGATGGACGGGGCCATGTACCGTCAAATCTTGGGTGAGAACCTCCTTCCCTCAGCCAGGGCATTGAAAATGGGTCGTGGATGGGTATTCCAGCATGACAATGACCCAAAACACACAACCAAGGCAACAAAGGAGTGGCTCAAGAAGAAGCATATTAAGGTCCTGGAGTGGCCTAGCCAGTCTCCAGACCTTAATCCCATAGAAAATCTGTGGAGGGAGCTGAAGGTTCGAGTTGCCAAACGTCAGCCTCGAAACCTTAATGACTTGGAGAAGATCTGCAAAGAGGAGTGGGACAAAATCCCTCCTGAAATGTGTGCAAACCTGGTGGCCAACTACAAGAAACGTCTGACCTCTGTGATTGCCAACAAGGGTTTTGCCACCAAGTACTAAGTCATGTTTTGAGAGGGGTCAAATACTTATTTCCCTCATTAAAATGCAAATCAATTTATAACATTTTTGACATGCGTTTTTCTGGATTTTGTTGTTATTCTGTCTATTACTGTTTAAATAAACCTACCATTCAAATTATAGACTGATCATTTCTTCGTCAGTGGGCAAACGTACAAAATCAGCAGGGGACCAAATACTTTTTCCCTCACTGTATGCAGCTGAAGTTAGATCTATTCATCCGAGCATTCAAGCAAATCTGAGCCTGGCTTCCACCTCGAAGTTTTGATTGAACATTAATTTATGCATTTCTGCATAATACAAATAGTATTATTTTCAAGACACTTTGTTATTATAGCTGAATTTTTCTTAAATATTCCTTTCATAGCTAGACAGCCGAAATTGTGTGCTTGGAGTTTTGGATAAAGATTCATTTTGAAGATACTAGAGCATCCAGGCATATTTATGACCATTTGCCCTCTCATTGTGTGTCTTAACAACCCGCGTGATGAATTGGGGAATTATTTTCACTATATCATTAATATATGAATAAGTATAGATGTGTAAGTCATGTGTGACTGTGTATATATGCATTCCTCTGTGCCTTGATACTGACGTAGATGGTTTGGATATGTTCTTCTGTCTGCAGCTGACGCTTTCTCTGACTCTTCCTCTGCAGAATTGGTCTGATGGAGCAAAGGGACTCGGCGCAGCTCGGTACAAGAAGGAAACAATGCGACCAGTATGCAGACAGCACGGATCGTACTGGAAGTTTGACACAACACCAGAGAACTCACACAGGAGAGAACCCCTTCAAGTGCAGTGTGTGTGAGAAGGCATTTGCAACGTTATCAAATGTTAAGCGCCACCAGAGAACACACACAGGAGATAAACCCTTCAAGTGCACTGTGTGTGAGAAGGCATTTGCAACGTTATCAAATCTTCAGAGCCACCAGAGAACGCACACGGGAGCTAAACCCTTCAAGTGCACTCTGTGTGAGAAGACATTTGCACGGTCATCACATCTTCACGACCACGAAAGAACACACACAGGACAGAAACCCTTCAGGTGCACTATGTGTGAGAAGGCATTTGCACAGTCATCACATCTTCAGAGCCACCAGAGAACACACACAGGAGAGAAACCCTTCAAGTGCACTGTGTGTGGGAAGGCATTTGCACAGTCATCACATCTTCAGAGCCACCAGAGAACACACACAGAGAAACCCTTCAATTGCACTCTGTGCAGGAAGGCGTTTGCACTGTCATCACATCTTCAAAGACACCAGAGAAGACACAGGCATCAGAAGATCCCCAAGGAGCGGGGTCTGAAATCGGCTTGTGTCAGTCCAAGTGCTGCAATGAGCCCATCCCTGCTGAAAAAAGAACCAGAATTTAATTCCAGCTTGGACGCAATTAAATGTATCAAGGTAGATTTTGAAGAGGTGAAATGTGAAGAAGTGATGGTGAAGAGCGAAGAAGCGATGGTAAAATGTGAAGATGAAGATTCAACTACAAAATCGGACCTTTACATCGATGGAGGCAACGTGAAGCAGGAGGAGAATTCTGACTGTGAGGCAGAGCGAGACAACTCCCAGGAGTTTGTGGAAGTGGAGGTGTGGGTGGACTTCTTAGACAATACAACGTCAAATGGAGACCCGGTAGATGTGTAAGCTTGAGACAATGAAGCTCCAATATATGCACCTTTGTCACAGGCCTTTAATTAAAATAACGTGAAGTTGCACACTAAATTCCTAGGTTCAACCTGCAGAGTAAGAGCAGCCAGTATTTGCGAACCTGTGGGTTGGGTAGATCTCTAACCAGGAGCCAATAATCTCCGAAGCATTCTCTGTTATACTATGTTATAATAATTTTAGCATTTACATGGTGCTTGCTTAATCGCCTCAGCAACTCAGTTTTGTATCATCTCATCACAAACACTCGAAGAGCATGTTGTATATATGCCTTTTCCATAAAATTATTATGAGTGATTTTTTTCTATTTTTTGTAATAATTTTGATCGGGATGTAGCGCTGTGGCATGGAAAGGGTGAGTCTCCCCCCCTGCCTCCTGCCTTGCCACGCAAAAGACAGCTGTAGGATAATTACTCACAAGCCTGTTTGGGAAGTCATAAAATGTAATACAAAATGGCAAACCCAAGGGGAGGGGGTCTAATGAGATTCTGCGGGAAGTCCCTAGTTGACTTCAAGAGAAGGCCGCCATAAAGGAAAAACCCCACAATAAAACAAAAGACGAAAACAGCAGTGGTCATGAACCTCCCTTGGACAGCGAAATTCACCCAAGGGCAGTTAATCATTACGAGTTAACTGGGGTTTTTAAAAATACAACAGTAAGGTTTTAAGCTTAGCTATATCTTCAACCTCAGGATATCAAAATATAACTTGAGAATAAGAAGCACGGATCCCTGGCAATACAGACTGGGAACAAATGTTAATTAAACCCTCGTAATATCCTTGGTAACAACTATGGTATACCACAAATCTTGGTTAAGCATAAACCAAGTAATTATGAAAGTATTAGACCTAGGGTCATTCGGAAGAGATAATGCGAAATATGTCAATCAAACGACCAAGATAATATGTATTCCACGGGATCAGAGCCTCGCCCAACCGCCTTTGTCTTCCAGTAGCTAACACAGTACATGGTCAGTTTAACACGTAGGCTTTCGCGACCAATATTAGTCAAATGTGTCGTAACCCTCCACCATCCGACACTGACAAACAGTAAAAAAAAATATGTCGCGTTTTTTACCAAGACAAATAGTTCACTACTTTAGCCCACCACCGGTGTGTTGAGTGATTCAACATCATTTAAAAATTTTAGTACAACATTTCGCTGGTAATTACATCCAGCATCATCGGGCAATTTGCCAGAATGGTGAGGACCTCCACTCGCTCCCGGTCTTAAATGGAGCAACAGGGTGATGTCATCTTTTAGCTCAATCTGGTGCAGTGATTCGAGACAGGGAGGGTATTGTAATTATATAATTGACTAGCTTTACTACCTGGCTTCGCCCGGGACTTAGATTCACTACGCCTGGCCGCCTTTGTCTCCCCAGTGGCGATGTTCACACACCATACCAGTTACTCGTTTGAGGCTGAGTCGACCTAGGGGAGGCCCAGGACCGGTTCAAATTATCGTCACCGGTAGTGGCCGTGAGCGGGAATCAAACTCTGATCGCCAGGTTCGTAGCGCAGCCCGCTAACCACTACACTACAATGCGTTACGCTTCCACATGCGCGGGTCACATGACAGATTTGATGTCACAGCTCACGCAAAAAATATATGCTCCCCCCAAAAAAAAGTGTGTACAGTCTGGAAAGTACCCACATGGCAAGTTTGTTGCATATCGGGAAGTACGCTAAACATTTTGAACAGACACACATAATCACAACTTTGGCTTTTATGTGTAATGGGTTCCGGAGACACTTGTAGACGTAACTTCTTTATTACGATACCACACTCCAACAGTCCTCTGTTACAACCTAGGGACACAGCCTAGGGACACAGCCTACTCTGGCTACGCTCTCGGGTCCTCCGGCTACAATTACCCTAGGGGAGGCTACCTGACCCGACCCAGCCAAGGTGCGGGTCTCGACTCTGGCTTCCTTGAAACTCGCCCTTACAAGGACGTAGAGCCGGAAGTCCCAGAGTCCCACCACTGCCCGCACAGCGTGCCGGCCCTTACAAGGACAAGCGGGGCGAGGGGGTCCAGGGTCCTATACTGGCTGGTCTTGGGTCTTGAGCTGTGACTGGTCCCGATCGACTGGGGAGGTCCCCTTTAATGTCCCTTTGCCCATCAAGGGGTGGCGTTACGTGGGATCGTAGATCCCCCGCAGCCCCCCCCCCCTTTTGGCGGTACGGGGCACCCTTGCAGATGGACCTCGTCTACCACTGCCGGTAAGTTTGGCCCATTTACGGCACTACATACGTATAAGGAGATTGGTAATCATTCAATTGTTGTTAATTGCTATTTGTTTCCCCTATAAGGAATGGGAATTGTAATATATACTTTTTAAAATAATATGCTTCCAGGCCGCACTAAGCCTGTAGCTGTTAGAGCGATTAAAGTTACTTGTATTTCACTCAATTTCAATGGATTATCTAATTAGTCTTGGCCAGTAATAATTAGTTTTACACAACACTTCAACGTTATCAAAATCAATTGAGTGTCTTTGACAAGTATGCTCTGCCACTGCCGACAGTTGTGTTTGAGATTATTTAATAAGACTAAAAGAACACCAAAGAAAGTACTGTCTGTGAAAAGGCATTTGCACGGTCATCAGTTCTTCTGATCCACCAGAGAACACACGGGAGAAACCCTTCATGTGCAGTGTGTGTGGGGAAGGCATTTTCAAGTTCACCTGCTCTTAAAAATCACCAGAGAACACAGGCATCAGAAGATCCCCAAGGATCAGAGTCTCAAATCGGCTTGTGAAAGTCAAAAGTCTTGCAAGGCGTTCATCCTTAATGATAAGAACTACAAGAAAATCCCAGCTTGGACACTTTAAAATGTATCAAGGTGAAATTTGAAGAGGCAGTAGGTGAAATGTGAAGATGCGGCAGTGAAGAGCGAAGAAGTGATGGTAAAATGTGAAGATGAAGATTCAACTCCAAAATCGGACCTTCACACCGATGGAGGCAACGTGTAGCAGCAGAAGAATTCTGACTGAGGCAGAGCGAGGCAACTCCCAGCAGTTTGTGGAAGTGTGGCTCGATTTCTTAGAAAATACAAAGTCAAATGGAGACCCGGTAGATGTGTAGTCTTGAGACAATGAAGCTCCAATAGATTTGTCACAGGTCTTTTATGAAATGATGACAAGTTGCACTCAATTCCTAGGTTCAACCTGCAGAGTAAGAGCAGCCAGTATTTGCGGACCTCTGGGTTGGGTAGATCTCTAAACAGGAGTAAGAGCCAATAAGCTCCCAAGCATTCACTATATTATGATAATATTTGCATTAATGTGGAGCTTAATTGCCCATAATTAGATCACATTAATTTAAATGTTTAGTGAAACCCGCCACTACGCGATTTGTTCTCCAACACACCGGTGTGCTGTACTAGTGTAGTGTAATAACGCTGACTGTTGTCCAGCAATGGCAACTGCGGTCGACAAATAGTACACACGCCAGTGAGCATATACACCGGTGTGTCGGCAGGGAAGAAGAACTGGGGCAAGGGTCACGGAAGACTCCATCTGGAAGCTCCTGGAACCTGCTAGTGGGTTCGAGAAGGGAGGCACGGCCAGGGCGGAGCCAGGCCACACTGGGTAGCATAAAAGCAGCTGAGAGTGGGAGCTCAGGGTTCATCTCCTCGTGGCTGTCATCTTTGCCGCCTTCGTCAATGCCGTCTTCGCTAGATATTGCACGGCCAGATAGTTGTTGGCTGTCTCGGTCAGCGCCATTGGTGTTACATGGTCAGGGATATGTTTATGCTAGGTTTGACGACGAGGGAGCGCGATGGCAAACCTGTGAAGGTATTAATAAAGGTGCCCCCTTAGAAACCTTGTCTCCCGCGCCACCGTAGCACTCCAACCTGCCGGCAACATCTTCCCAAGCTCCATGTTGCTTTCCGTGACTGCCGTGTGCAAAGTGTCAGGGGCTGGATCTGATTTGATGCTACTGCGGATTTCAGGGACGGGCCGTGCCCTTAGGCCATTGTTTTTTTGTTCCCATTCCTCGGAATCCCAAGGAATGCAAAACCCTGCCAAGGCGGGGGTGACCAGTGTCGAGGACCGGCTCACGTGAGCTATGTTCTGGTAAAGGCCGACTCTCCCTTGTAAGGTGAGATTCGGGGGGGTTGTGTATATTGTTTGGCTTGTGTTATCGGCTCTCGGGGGGGGGGGGGGGGGCGGCGTCACGGTTATGCGGTCCCTGATGGGGTTCTTGCCCATGCCGCAGTTGCGCTTCGTGTTGGCGGTTTGTGGGAAGGTTGCCGCGGGTTGTGCTTTTTGTTGCCGGTCCGCGGGGGCGCCGGAGTGGCACTACGTGGTTATGGTTCGCAGGAGACGCTGCGGTTGTGCTGTATGGTCGCGGGAAGTGTTGCAACCAAGGTTTTCTTTTTTGGGGTAAATTGTTTTTTCGTGTTGGTGGTGTTCCTCGGGGTTGGGGTTGCTCTGCCTGTCCACCGGTTGCAGTTGCAACGGCAACTGCGGTGGACAAACAGTGCACACGACGGTGAGCACATACACGAGTGTGTCGGCAGGGCGGAGGAACTGGGGCAAGAGTCATGGAAGACCCTATGTGGAAGCCCCTGGAACCTGCTAGAGGGTTCGAGAAGAAAGGCGCGACCAATGCGGAGCCAGGCCGCGCTGGGTACAATAAAAGCAGCTGAGAGCGGGAACTGAGCGCTGCCGGTTCTGGGAGTGGGCTCGTATCGTCGTCACTGTCATCTTTGCTAGATATTGTGCGGCCGGATAGTTGTTGGCTGTCTCGGTCAGCGCCATTGGTGTTCCACTGTCAGGTCTGTGTTTAGGCTAGGCTAGACGACTAGAGAGAGCGCATTTATATTTAAGCAATCTAACCCAAAAAAAATCTGATGAATGATATTGGTCGTGAGAGCCTACGCGTTAAACTTGCTTAATTGCCTCAGCAATTCAGAGTTTTGTATCATATCTCATCACAAACACTCGAAGAGCACCCCTAAGTGGCAGCTGCCTCTGTGTGGCATAAGGTGGCCCAGCACCAGCCTGCATGTGGGCATGAGTCTGGCAGTCAGGGGCGATAATTGATGTGTAATCTCAATGACACCAACATGCAAAGACCTATGTGTTTTGAATGACACAATAGTATGTTTTACATCCACTCTTTAAGCAGACGGTGCATATTTTTGTTGAGGTTACTGGAGTAGCCAGGGGTGCCTGTCGGATTTAAACCTTGAACCTCTGCAATAAATAGAGAATGCGCTACCACTTGGCTTCCCTCAATCTGAGTGTAGGCATGCCAGCCAGTCTTCTTGGTTCTTTCGGTAAAGTCACGTAGAAGGAAAATAATAAAAAGAAAAGATAATAAAATAATTCTCACGACGTTTCGGCCACAACGCAAGCAGCCGTTTGTGGCCGAAACGTCGTGAGAATTATTTTATTATGTTTTATTTTTATGTTATTATTTTCCTTCTACGTGACTTTACCAAAAGAACCAAGGAGATCATTCCCTGCAGTCACGAAAGCTTTAAATCGAAATGCCAGCCAGTGTTTCTAACCAGCGCAGATGTTCCATTTAGAGGGGTCCACGTTTCACATGCCTAGAGAATGGAGGGCATGACTGTTGCCGAGAAGACCCGGAGCTTCATGCGGAGCGACAGGCCAGGTAGCTTCCACACAGCATTGCAGAGCTGATGAAAAGATAATGCCGCCCGACTGATTCGGACCACCCACACACCGTCCACATACGCAGGGTAGACGTATTGTGTACACAATGTATATACAGCGTACACACAGTCTGCGCATACACTGTATACACAAACACTAACAAAAACAATTACTGTCATTCGCCAATACGTGGTGGTGATGTCACCATGGCGCTTGTACCAGGCTATGTGCACGTTAAGGCCAGGTCAAGTGTCGAACTCCCGCCAGCAGGAAGTCACAGGGCAGACTCAGGTGCCATTGTTCAACTGAGATGGCTGGCCGATGCACCACCTGTGCCCCCTACTGGGCCAACAGTGTACACACACACGGTGTGTGCGCGCGCACCGTGTGTGTGTACACAGTTTGTATACAGAGGCCGTCCATAAATGACGTCACGCGATTTTGGACGATTTTGACCCCCCCCCTCCTTCGTCACACGACGTCACAAAAAGTCAGACCCCCCCCCCCCTCAAATATGACGTCACAAAGCTCTGCCCGCCCTCCCCCCCAAAAAACATGCTTCAAATCGCTTTAAACTATTATCATTGTAGTGCGTATTTAATGTGGCGCTACACTCTGATGTTGTAATAGAAAACATTTATTAAAAAATCTATTTAATTAAGTCGAACGTGTTGTCTATATATATTTAAGTTGCGCATTTTGATGTGACGTCACATTTATCACACCCCCCCCATCGTCACAAATCGTCACAAATGTCTGACCGTCCCCTCCCCATTTGCGAGACGTCATTTATGGACGGCCCCACACACTGTTTACACAGTTTGTACACACACACACTGTATACACAGTTTGTACACACACACACTGTATACACAGTTTGTACACACACACACTGTTTACACAGTTTGTACACACACACACACTGTATACACAGTTTGTACACACAATGTTCACGTTGTTAAGCTCGCGCACCCAAAGGGTAAATGTTCAATAGAGGGATCAATGGAATAGGAATCTTAATGAACTTCAACTCTAACCCCGCTGTCTGACGTCACCACTGCATTATCTCATCGGCGTGAGGGGGGGGTGAACCCCGCTAGTGACGTCATGTCATCTCGTGCTGCCGCGTGACGTCACGAGATACCAGGAAGCTGCTGATCCGCGCGCGCTCACTGAGATCCGAGGTGAGAAGTTCACATCGTGGTTGTTGTTTACCCAGGTAGAGCCTCGCTCCTCTCGGAGGGATATCAATTGAGTTGCAGCGAGGATGGAATCGATGTCCAGGTTGGAACATTACAACGCGGGGCCTACCCACGCGGGGCCTTGCCTCCTGCCCTCGCCTAATTGCATTTGCTTGAATTCTCTGCTTAAATATAATTTGTCTTCATCTGGCTCACTACTTTGAAACTTTGTTTCTTTTAAATATTTCGACAGTTTTTTTTATCTTACCAGGTCAAGCCCCCTTCAGCTGCTATACCGCTCTTGTTTTCAGAAGCGACCTGCCCACAACAAAGTGGAGCTATACTACACTTTGTGTAGCTATACTAACACTATAGCAGTGTGTACTGGCTGTAGTAGCTATACTAATTCTATAGCAGTGTGTACTGGCTGTAGTCGTAGCTATACTATATAGCAGTGTGTACTAGCTGTAGTAGTAGATATACAAACTCCATATCAGTGTGTACTGGCTGTAGTAGTAGTACTAACTGTATAATAGTAATCTTTGGTTCTTTCGTTGAGTCATATAGATAGAAAAATAATAATACAAATAAAGTGAATAATGACGTGAATAAAAATAATACAAATAACCATTAATGTAAACTGTAGCCTGGTTATTAAGTTTTGTGAGTGTACTGGCAGTCTATGATGTAGACTATAGAAATGGTTATTAATAACTAAGAATAAGTCTATAGACTGCCAGTACACTCGCTCAGCTGAATAACCATTGCTACAGTCTACATTATAGACTGCCAGTACACTCACCAAACTTAATAAGCAGGCTACAGCCTACATTATAGAGTGCCAGTACACTCACCGAGGTTAAGAATTATGCTAGTCTACATTATAGACTGCCAGTACACTCACCCAGCCTAATAACCATTGCTACAGTCTACATAGACTGCCAGTGCACTAATCGAGGTTAAGAACCAGGCTACAGTCCACATTATAGACTGCCAGTACACTCACCCAGCTTAATAATCATTGCTACAATCCATATTATAGACTGCCAGTACACTCACCAAACTTAATGAGCAGGCTACAGACTACATTATAGAGTGCCAGTACACTCACCGATGTTAGGAACCAGGCTGCAGTCTACATTATCGACTGCCAGTACGCTCACCAAGGTTAAGAATGATGCAAGTCCACATTATAGACTGCCAGTACACTCACCCAGTTTAATAACCATTGCTACAGTCTACATTATAGACTGCCAGTACACTCACCCAGCTTAATAACCATTGCTACAATCCATATTATAGACTGCCAGTACACTCACCAAACTTAATGAGCAGGCTACAGACTACATTATAGAGTGCCAGTACACTCACCGAGGTTAGGAACCAGGCTGCAGTCTACATTATCGACTGCCAGTACGCTCACCAAGGTTAAGAATGATGCTAGTCCACATTATAGACTGCCAGTACACTCACCCAGCTTAATAACCATTGCTATAGTCTAATCTTGATTTTAAGCTTTCGTGACTGCAGGAATCCATACTCTTTGGTTCTTTCGGTAAATTCACGTAGGTAGAAAATATAATAGAGCACGACGTTTCGATCACAACTCAAGCAACTGTCATCAGGTGTGAAACAAACAGCAGGACGACTGCTGACATAGGAGAAAGAGCTGCTGCAACAAGAGTTTACATAGGATTTTGGTGGGCCCAACCCAAGGATAAGTGGGCGGAGCTAGAGAAGGAATTTGTACATAAATGTAAATGTGAGAGATTAGCATGTCAATGTGAGACGGCCCAGCCACCGGGGGTGTGCCAATGAGAAGATTAGCATGTCATTGTCAGAGAGCCCAGCAACAGGAAACAAAAAACCCTTAAGAGCAAGAGGTACACATGGTGAGAGAGAGACACAGAGAGAGAGAGACAGAGTCGGAAATAACAGCTCACATAGGCAGGTAGGATGAAAACATCACAGTCAGTTAAGACTTTACTTGGTTAATAACGTCCTTCCAATGATTGCTCAGGTTGTACCCATCTTCTCAGTTGAAGTTGTGTTTGTGTTTATATATCTGGATGGCTTCATGAACAAATCTTTGATGATGGCCGGTGGGTTTGCAGAGTACCTTCGTCTTGGAAAAGTCTATTTCGTGTGAGCCCACAGCGTTAAAACAATGATCAACAATGGCAGAGGTATTGATCCTACCGTGTTTCAGATCTGCCTTGTGTTCGCGAACACGGTCCGAGACATGTCGTTTCGTTTCCCCAATGTAACTGCTGCCGCAGCCACAACTCAGTTTGTAGACACCAGGGTATTGCATGTCAGGCATCACATCCTTCACAGATGGGATCTAATCACGGATTGTGTACTGTGTTGAAACAACCTCGATCTTGTGTTTGTTTAAGATTTTTGGAAATATTTTTGGTAACCTCTGCTATGTATGGCAAAGTGATGGTTTTGATTGGATCCTAAGATGGTTGTCTCCCCATGGCTGGGGAGACAGCTTTGCGGATTGTACTGTCAGAATATCCATTCATCCTGAGGGCTTGGTGTACGTGCTCCAGCTCACTGGCTAGGTGGCGCTGGTCGGAGATGCAACGGGCCCTATTGTGTAGTGTTTTGATGAGGGAATTCTTCTGGGCTGGACGGTGGTGGGAGTCAGGCTTTAGATAGGCATCCATGTGGATGGCTTTCCTGTAGACAGTGTCCCAACGAGCCACCAGGTCTCTTCTCGATCACAACATCCAGGAATGGTAGCTTGCCATCATTTTTCACTTCCATGGTGAATTTGATAGATGGGTGTTTGGAATTGATGTGGTTGAGCGTTAATATGGCTACTACTACGGCCAGTACACACTGCTATAGAGTTAGTATAGCTACTATACTTTTTAGCAGCGTGTACTGGCTGTAGTAGTAGCTAGACTAACTCTATAGCAGTGTGTACTGGCTGTATTAGTAGCTATACTAACTCTATAGCAGTGTGTACTGGCTGTAGTAGTAGCTATACTAACTCTAAAACAGTGTGTCCTGGCTGTAGTAGTAAGGGAGAACCCATTGGGGTACCCTCATTTAGTTTGTAGAATGTACCATTCCAGGTGAAGTAAGTGTTGGTAAGGCAGTGCCTTACCAAAGTTGGTACATCTGGATTCAGTCACTGTTGGACCAAGTCTTCAATGATTGCAATGGTGTCAGGTACAGGTACCTTGGTGAACAAGGAGTCTACATTGAAACTGGCAAGCAAATCAATCGGAGACAGTGAGATGTCCTTGATTAGTGAAACCAAGTGAGCTGAGTTAAATACAGATGAGGTGGTCGTGCCCGTGAAAGGAAGCAGGGTCTCAGACAGAAATCGGGCCAGTTTGTGGGTGGGTGAGTTAATGGTGAAAACGATACTTTGTGGATTTTTGTAAGGCCATCAAATCTGGGTGGTCTAGCAGCCAAATGTTTTAGAGAGAGCTGCTTGGTCGGTTTGATTAGAGAAGTCGGATTAGTGATGATATTGTTGGTTTTCGTGGCTAGGCAGTTGGTGGGATCTCTTGATTTTGGTATAGCTGCCATCATTAAGAAGGTCCTGAATTTTGTTGTTGTAAGTGGTTTTATCCAGGATGACAGTGGCATTGCCTTTGTCGGCGGAGAGGATAACAATGTCACCTCTCTTTTTTAATTGAGCGAGTTCAAAACGCTCGTCCTTGCTGATGTTGCTAATGGGTTTCTTAGCGTCTTTGAGGATAGCAGCGATTTCAAATCTTGCAACGTCTGCCGGGATGTGTCCCAAACCTTTGAGGGCTATGTCGACCTGGGCAATGATATCACACACTGGGATGTGTTTAGGGGAGACTGTGAAATTCAACCCTTTAGCTAGTACCGATTTTAGGCTGTCGGAAATTGGGCTGTTACTCTGATTGATACAAATCTTGTTAACATCTGACTTTTTAATGTGTGGCTTGGTCTTCTTTTTTGACAGGTGATTGAATTTAGCAATCAAGTTAACTTTACGTTTAGTTGACATTGAAGTAGCTGAAGAAACTGTCATGTTATCTACATGGTCCCAATCAGATGTGGACATTTTATCTGTTAATGCTAAGTGTGATTGTAAGAGAGTCTTGTCTAAATTATCAAGTTAAAATCGGAGCAATCTTATTCTCTCTGAGATTAGAGCTAGGCTGTCCCTAAACATAGTCTACAATATAGACTGCCAGTACACTTAACTCCGATTAAGAACCAGGCCTACATTAGTGTTTCTTTTTATTTTTACTATTTCGATTTTAATTAACTTCTTTTTGTTATTTTTTTTTCTATCTACGTGACTGTACCGAAATAACCAAGAATATAATACTTAACAGTGCCGTGGTAAAGCCTAGTCCCATGCAGGGGCCCCGGCCTCGCGCATGCACAGATGTGTGCTTTGGCACGCGCTCAGCGTAGTAATTTAATCATTAATAGTACTAAATTGTTATACCATGGGACCTCCTTCGCCTTTTGGCGTCCTCTGGTCTAACACTGTTTGAGACTAGGCTCGAAAGAAAGCTGTCTATGGTGTAGACCAATCAGTTTCAAGGACAATGCATATAGTATGTGATTTTTTTTTAGCATTTTGACTGCAAATATTGTGGTTAATGCAGACATGAATCCTTGTAAAATGGTTTCAGTTTTGTTGCCAAAAAAAAAGGGGAACCCTATTATTATATTTTGGTACTAGCAAAGGAGGTCTAATGATGTAGATGCTTACCCTGAGCCCTCATTACTTTGATAGTGCATTGTCTTTGAGCTGTACGCCTTTTGGCGTCATCTGGTCTTCCAATTGAGACGAGGCTCTAAAGAAAGCTATCTCTGGTGTGGACCAATCAGTTTCAAGGACAATGCATATATTATCAGTGTTATTTTTGTTTGCATTTTGACTGCAAGTATTGTGGTTAATGCAGACATGACTCCTTGTAAAAAGGTTTCGGTTTTGTTGCCAGAAAAAAGGGGAACAACCCTATTATTATGACAATGCATATACTATCAGAGCATGTTTTTTTCCATTTTAACCACAAATATATATCGTGTTTATGCAGAAATGATTCCTTGAAAAAGGTTTAAGTTTGGTGTTTGAACATCTTAACACCCGTTTTGTTGCCAGAAAAAAATGGGAAAACCTATTCTTGTACTAAATTGTTAATTTAACTACGTTAAAGTTGACGGACGCAAAATACGATTAGCGCTGGCTCACCACGGGGCTTATCGTATGGTACCCGGGTACTTTTTTTAAACAAAACTCCACGGTTCGTGAGTCAAATCCGTCACAAGTTTCGTATACAGACAGACGGACAGAAAAACAAACAAAAACTGACTTGTATAGGTAAGATGTAATGATCCATGTGAAATGTATGTGTATTTAAGAGTTTATCTTTGTGGGGAGCTGTGGCGCAGTTATTTCACTGCATTATGAATTCAACAATTAGTTTGACTATCGCCGACAGCAAACACGATTGATAAGTGAAAGCTGAACTTATTGTGGTCCTCTGCTATGTTGATTGATCTTAAATTAATTACATGGTGAAGTGAGGAAGCATTAATACTGAGCAGATCAAGGTGGCCAGGCATGGTTCTGGACACCACCACCTTTTTACAATGCCAGTGTGTGACAGTGTCAAGTTTGTATTTGCAGTAAAGTATATTAACTATTGAACATGGAGGTTAAATCAAAACAATAGCTTATTTTAGTTTTGCTCTGGAACTTTTTGTAAGAATGGAAACAGTCAGGAAATCAACACAGCATATATGCTGCTGAAGTTAGATCTGTTCATCCAAGCATTTAAGCAAATCTGAGCCAGGCTTCACACCCCAAGTTGTGATTGAACATTAATTTATGCATTACTGCGTAATACAAATAGTAATATTTTCAACAGCCTTTGCTATGTTAGCTGAATTTTACTTTAATAAATATTGCTTTTGTAGCCAGGCAGCCGAAATTGTGTGTTTGGTGTTTTGGGTTAATATTTATTTTGAAGATACTAGGGCCTCCAGGCATATTTATAACCATTTGCTCTCTCATTGTGTGCCTTAACAGCCCGTGTGATGGATTGGGGTATATCTTGAATATATGAATAAATATAGACGTGTAAGTCATGTGTGACTATGTATATATATTTATTCCTCTGTGCCTCGATACTGACGTAGATGGTGTGGATATTTTTTCTGTCTGCAGCTGACGCTTCTGACGCTTCATCAGATTTGGTGTGATGGAGCAAAGGCACTCAGCACAGCCCGGTACAAAAAGACAATGGGACCAGGATGCAAACAGCATGGATTGTACTGGAAGTGTGACACGGCACCAGAAAACTCAAACAGGAGAGAAACCCTTCAAGTGCACTGTGTGTGAGAAGGCATTTACAGTGTCATCATATCTTAAAAAACACCAGAGAACACACACAGGAGAGAAACCCTTCGGGTGCACTGTGTGTGGGAAGGCGTTTTCACGGTCATCAATTCTGCACAAGCACCAGAGAAAACATACAGGAGATGGACCCTTTAAGTGCACTGTGTGTGAGAAGGCATTTGCATGGTCATCAGTTCTTGAAAAACACCGGAGAACACACACTGGAGAGAAACCCTTCAGTTGTAGTGTGTGTGGGAAGGCATTTTCAGATTCATCTGTTCTTAAAAAACACCAGAGAACACACACTGGAGAGAACCCCTTCATATGTAGTGTGTGTGGGAAGGCATTTTCAGATTCATCTGTTCTTAAAAAACACCAGAGAACACACACGGGAGAGAAACCCTTTAGGTGTAATGTGTGTGGGAAGGACTTTTCACATTCATTCGCCCTTAAAACACACCAGAGAACACACACGGGAGAGAAACCTTTCAAGTGCACAGTCTGTGAGAAGGCATTTGCAGATTCATCAGTTCTTCAGATCCACCAGAGAACACACACAGGAGAGAAACCCTTCAAGTGCAGTGTGTGTGAGAAGGCATTTGCACAGTCATCAAATCTTAGAAAACACCATAGAACACACACAGGAGAGAAAAATTTCAAGTGCACTGTGTGTGAGAAGGCATTTTCAGATTCATCTGCTCTTAAAAGACATCAGAAAATACACACAGGAGAGACACCTTTCAAGAGCAGTGTGTGTGGGAAGGAATTTTCAAGTTCATCTGATCTTAAGATCCACCAGAGAACACACACGGGAGAGAAACATTTCAAGTGCAGTTTGTGTGAGAAGACATTTTCAAGTTCATTTTGTTTTAAAAAACACCAGAGAACACACACAGGAGAGAAACCCTTCAGGTGCACTCTGTGCGGGAAGCTCTTTGCAGATTCATCACATCTTAAAAAAACACCAGAGAATGCACACAGGAGAGAAACCCTTCAAGTGCACTGTCTGTGAGAAGGCATTTGCATGGTCATCAGATCTTCAGATCCACCAGAGAACACATACAGGAGAGAAACCCTTCAAGTGCACTGTCTGTGAGAAGGCATTTGCATGGTCATCAGGTCTTCAGATTCACCAGAGAACGCACACAGGAGAGAAACCCTTCAAGTGCACTGTCTGTGAAAAGGCATTTGCATGGTCATCAGGTCTTCAGATTCACCAGAGAACACACACAGGAGAGAAACCCTTCAAGTGCACTGTCTGTGAAAAAGCATTTGCATGGTCATCAGGTTTTCAGATCCACCAGAAAACACACACGGGAGAAAAACGTTTTAAGTCCAGTTTGTGTGGGAAGGTATTTTCAGGTTCATCTCATCTTAAAAGGCACCAGAGAACACACACAGGAGAGAAACCCTTCAAGTGCACTGTCTGTGAGAAGGCATTTGCACAGTCATCAGTTCTTCATCGACACCAGAGAACACACAGGCATCAGAAGATCCCCAAGGAGTGTAGTCTGAAATCTACTTGTGAAAGTCAAAGTGCTGCAATGAGCCCATCCCTCCTGAAAAAAGAACCAGAAGTACATTCCAGCTTGGACACTATGAAATGTATCAAGGCGAAATGTGAAGAGGCGATAGTGAAGAGCGAAGAAGTGAAGGTAAAATGTGAAGATGTGATGGTGAAGAGCGAAGATGTGAAGGTAAAATGTGAAGATGAAGATTCAACTCCAAAATCGGACCTTCACATCGATGGAGGCAACGTGAAGAAGGAGGAGAATTCTGACTGTGAGGCAGAGCGAGGAACCTCCCAGGAATTTGTGGAAGTGGAGGTGTGGGTGGACTTCTTAGACAAAACAAAGTCAAATGAAGACCCGGTAGATGTGTAAGCTTGAGACAATGAAGCCCCCGTAGATTCACCTTTGTCACAGGCCTTTAATGAAAGAATGTGAAGTTGAACACTCAATTCTTAGGTTCAACCTGCAGAGTAAGAGGGGGTAGTATTTGCAGACCTGTGGGTTGGGTATACAGTGATCCCTCGTTTATCGCGGTTAATGGGGACCGGAACCCCTCGCGATAGGTGAAAATCCGTGAAGTAGGATTGGCCCCCTAGGAATTTCCGTATATGTGTGTGTGGGTACCAGAATGTTTAAAATATGTATATTTATACTTTATATATATATTTTACTTAAATCTATTTAATTATTAAACCTTAATATTATACATTCACTCTCTTTCTCATACGATACGTATTATGGTGTTCTACACTCACCAATGACAGTAGTATCTTGAGACTTGACTCCAGTAATGACGACGACGATAATGACAACGATGATGTGCAGCCAACCAGCTCACGGAATACATCCACCCGTGCTCTCATTCGTCGATCTCGTGCCGGGAACCAATCACGTGCCTTGTCTGAGTGCCCGTGGGTATGTACAAAGCCTCTGAGAGTGTTTCTCTCTTTGTCTGGCATCCTGGGAAACCGTTTCTCTCGCGCATCACGATGAAACAACGCTAATTTCTGCAATACGGCTGCCGATATGGCGGTATTTTTTAATTTTCATTTTTCGATGAATATTTTTGAAAAATCCGCGATGCACTGAGGCTGCGAAACTTGAACCGCGAAGTGGCGAGGGATTACTGTATCTATATCAATTTATAACATTTTTGACATGCGTTTTTCTGGATTTTGTTGTTATTCTGTCTCTCCAAATTAACCTACCATTAAAATTATAGACTGATCATTTCTTTGTCAGTGGGCAAACGTACAAAATCAGCAGGGGATCAAATACTTTTTACCTAAACTGTAAATACATTTTTTTTTAACTTCCAACCCGTGATGAGAGGACGGAATACGTGGTGACAGCAAGCACACCCTTGCACAATAGGTCACGACTTCACGACTTCAAAGGCCACAGCGCCCCTTTTTGACAGAGACTGCAAGTCTGATGCAAAAAATGTTAAACACTTCCAACCCGTGATGGAATTGTGGGGAACGCTGCCCAAAACGAATACACACAAACAGGGATAGAATTGTGTTAAAAGCTTTCTTTTCATCACATAATCTTGCCGGCGAATGTATTAAAGCCCTTAGCCAATTGTTGCACATTTGTTAGACAAGCAAGCACACTACCGCACACCATTGTTCCAAGGCATTACGTTAATTGCATAATCTAAAAAATGAATTCATTGAGGTCTACCTTTGCTTAGGCACATGTTTCTTTATTACTGTTCGTATGAAGATTGTCACATTAATTTCCTGTCGCTGTGTATGATCACCTTACTCTGAAGAATGAGCCAATTGTTCTGTTACCCAGTTTGACAAACATAATTATTGAGGGTTAAATGTACGGTTCAATGAAGACATCTCCAGGAGTACTGTGTTGGCATTCCTTGCATAAGAGTTCGCATATTGGAATGTTACGTGTTTTTTAGAGATTAAAGTTGCTTAACACAGAAGAGTCTGAGTGGTGCCTTCCTAAGTCCATGCATAATAATATTAATTATAAGAACTGTATCTTGCGGAGAGATCTGCATTTTGAGACCTGATATAACACACTAAGACATAATCAGTAAAAGTTAAAGTGAGAATCATTGTATTATCCTGATTGATAATTCACTGGTCAACACTTTTTCTGGCATAAGGTATTCCAACGGTCTTAATGTAATTTTGGGGTGCTGATTCCAAATCTGGCATATCAAATATTGCATTTTCAATAAAAACTGCAGAAGAAAAATATTAAATAAATGTGGATATCTACATAAATTTATTATAAACACACTATCCTAAAAATACAGAACCATATTTTAACACTAAAGCAGTCACTGACTCGCAACAACTTGCAATCATAAGTGACAGAGTTAATTTCGGGTAAAATCAATGAAAATGGGGTATGCCGATAGCATAAAATGAGATGTGATAGAGCAAATCTGAGATCAGATTTGGAATCGGCACCCTGAAATAAGTCTAAAACAGCTGCAAAAGTCCAGGCCAGAAAAAAGTTTTTTTTATTGACCAGTGATAATACAACCCTAGATAACGACGCAGAACCTAATGATAATAATTAAATGCATTAGCATAATTACATACACTTGCATAACTGAAAACAATTACACCTACCTAATTAGCATACGCGCAACATTTTCATAATTAAATAAATTAGCATAACTTCGGGAAAATTACAGTTTTGAAAAAATTTCATTTTTTACATTTTTAAAAATTTTCAGACCGAATATATACAACAGGTGGAAAATATATATAAGCAAGAATGCAAGAATATAAATCAGCACTGCTCAACGAAACGCCCAACTGCGACTGGAGAAGTCCAAACCATCAAGCACATCACCAATGAATGCTCCATCCATGCACATCCTGGCGGTATCGCTAAAATCCACACTGCATCAACCACATCATTGGACTGGATAAGGAACCTTTGCATTCATTCATGACGATCATTAAAAATAAAAACTGTTGCTTTTCACAATGCCATACTCAAAAAGAACTGCGAGTCCGGCTCCGGGGATTGCCCTCGTGACTGGCAAATTGATAGGGAGCTCTGCATCGTCAGAAGCCACGCGTCACGGAGAGTTTTTTGTTGCATCATTGAGAGAGGCTGCTAGCTATGGCTGGTGCTCGCAGTATTGCAATCCAGACGTGGGGAAGAGTGACAAGCATTACTTTTCCCGGTGGCGAGATCGCTCTGGGCAGCAAACACGACCATAGAGTGACAATCGTTCGGATTGTGCTTAGATCAAAGTCAACCCTTTGAGGGAAAACTGGTGCAACCACTATTCGTGAGAGTGCCCCTTGAAATCGCAACCCACAGGCAAAGTTTAGTTGAGGGTCAGATCAGAGACTGACACGGAACGATATACAGTAACTTGATCTGTAGCGTGTCCTCTGTGCAGCACGAGTCGTACAAACAACTGGAAGAGGACTCTCTTGAAGAGGGGGGGGGGGGGGGAGACGACAGGCGCTGTCTCTCCAACTCACTCCACAGTCTGCAAGGATCAACAGTGTCTGGTGCGAGTGGTTTATGGTGACGGGATGATCGCGCACATCGACGCAGACGGAGCCGGACCCATCATCCCTGCCAGCACGGGCACTGCCGACAGAGTGACCAGCGTGCCGACTCGGCAATCACCTCAGCGGTGGAGAGAGACTGACGAAGCAGCCGAGAGCGCCGTGTGCTCAACACACACGCTGACCCAGCGCCCCTGCTGGGGACCTGAGGTATTTTCGTTCCAAGGAACGCAGCACCTCAGAAGCCAAAAGACAACCGCCATTCGCCACGAAGTGGCGGTGACGTCACCACGACGCTTGTTCCAGACTATGTTTTCAGTTTCATTTATTAGTTACTAGCGGTAAGTACCCGGCGTTGCCCGGGTGAAAAATATCTTTATAAACTTCTCTTAAAATTTTCGATTTAAAGCTTTCATGACTGCAGGGATTCATCTTCTTGGTTCTTTCGGTAAAGTCACGTAGAAGGGAATTCTCACGACGTTTCGGCCACAACGCAAGCAGCCGTCCTCAGGTGAAGAACAGGTCTGTCGGAAAGACAGCGTCTGAATGAACACCAGGCTTGGCAGCGTATATTTAAGCTGGGTTGGAGGGGGAAGAGCGCCTTGACAAAGGGATTTGCATATCAAGAGGAATTTAGCATATTTATGGAAATGCAGATATGGGATTAGTCACTACTTGTGGAATGAGTTACAGCAGCAGAGGTTAGAGTAAATGCGATTGGTATTACCTTAGAGTCGCGGCATCTCTTCAGAAAGGTGAGAGACTCGATTAGCTGAGCCTTCTTATCACGGAGTTTGTTGTCTCTTAAAAACCTTACATATACACACACAGATACTAAGGTATTGTGAAAGCCCGGTGGGCCGTTTGTACATTTCTCCACCAACAAAATTATGAGAAGCTTGCAAAAGTCCAAAATGTTGTAGAAATTGTGGGGTAAATAGTTGATGTAAAAGGTTTCCGAAAACTGTGGACACCCCCCCCTCAAAAATTATATTTACATCAGCCTACATACAACAGAGGAAGTAGTATCTATTGACTCTGTAGTTGTATCTACTGACTGTACAGTAGTATCTACTGAGCCAGTAGTAGCTACTGACTGGAGTATTATTTACTGATTGTAGTAATGACTGACCGTAGTA